GATCAGTGGATTGTGATCTTCGAAACTACAGAAGATCCCTATTTGGAAGATAAGATTCCCAGATTTACACATATTTGTGATATATAATATTTTGCTGGTCACGCAATTTGCTAATAAAATATGCATTATTGACATTTCCAAAATACGTTGCTAAAATAATTGTATCATCAATAGCATCTTTAAATGCTGATGACTCTTTAAAAATTTCGCTAATACATAAATTTAACTGATGAGCGAAGCAAGGTAAAAAAACCTTATCCGTATATTTTATTTGTAATTGTCTCCTACAAAACATGTTTATTTGTTATTTTATTTTTTTTTAAAAAAAAACTTCTTACTAATTACCTTGCTGATGCATAAGCCGCAGCACTATCAGTTACCAAAGCTATAGGTTTAATTGTTAAAGATTCTAGCTCATTAAACAAATCTTCGATCTTTAAAATAACATCACTAGCACGTGATCTTTCACTACTAACATTTTGGGCTTTCCAAATTAAAGGTTTACCAGAAGAAGTGATTAGAACGCTGCCTAGTAGGTTTTGCTTAATTACATTTGTCCAACCATCCATAGTAATAGTAATTCCAATTGCATCTTTTTGTGCCGTTTCTTGAATTCTTAACATAAATTCAGTAACAGCCTCATTTAAAATTTTTCCACTTAATTGTTTGCGACCAGGAAGAGTAATTTTTGGATTAATATATTGAAATGGAGCTAATGAATCTGGATTTTCAACCCATCGAAAACTCCATCTATTAGAAACTGTCATTTTTAAAAGTAAATAATTAAATTTAGACTTTCTTGCTTTTGAAAATCTACGTACAATATAGGGATCTAATGGTCCTTGTTGCTCTTGTTCGATTTCAGTATTATCTTTATTAGAAGTTTGACTATCGGATTCATCACTACTAACTAAATATATTAAAAATTTTAGTTATTTAAAAAGTAATAAAATTATATTTACAAGTAAGCTTATATTGTTTTTTTTGTTTGCTTTTAGTTTTCTCACTATTGGTATCATTTATAATTTTTGTAACCTCATGCTCTCCTTTTTGATTTTTAAAGTATTTACAATTTTTTAAGTGTGTTTTAACAAGCCGTTTTGTATTAATAAACTTATGTGAATATGCATAGTCAAACCCTTCAGCTTCTTTGCATGCTAAACAAATAGCGAAATGGTTATAATCATTAGACTTTTCCTTCAAAACTTCTATATACACTGTTAAGCGATGTTGTTTGGGTCTTTTTCTTTTCATTGTTAAACAATAGCGATCTCAAATTGAGTTGCTATAGAATTATATATAATAAAACTATTATTATATACAAAAAGTTAAGTAAAAATATCGTCATTAAAGCGTAAGAATTTTATATAAATCATATGAAATATAATTTCTAATTATGGAACTGCAAAGATACGTATTAATTTTTTTTAAAATTCAAAAAAGATGACTTAGATATATAATTAACAAATATATTGTATTTTAAAGAATATATAGCATTGAATTAGATTTACTATAACATAGAAAAAGCTTAACAAATAGTCAAAATAATATTATAAATAAATAGACAATTATCATATTAGAGATGAATTGAAATCGATTAGTATTTTAAAAAATATTTATTTAAGATATGTAAATGAGAAAAACTTGCACATAGATTAGTTTTTATTTAATGTTATATATAATTAAATTAGTTTTTCTCTTATATATTTATTAAAATCTAAATTAACGTCACTGATATTGTAAAATTAAATTAAAGAATGTATTATGTATTACAAACTTGAGTAGATTTTAAGTTGAAATAAAATTCTATCATAAGTTTGCTCAAATTGGTAAAGAATTTTGACGTACAATATCTTTTTTCTTATCCTATATTTTACTAATCATTTTGTTCATATGATAACGATTTTAATTTTTACTAATAATAGATTAATTGATATGTATAAGAAATAATTTGTATAAAGTGAGTATATTTAATCAAATTTTAATACGTATGTAATATGTAATTGCCTGTAATGAGTATTTAAGATTAACAAAATTTTAATACGTATATAATATGTAATTGTCTGCAATGAGTATTTAAGATTAACATTTTAATACGTATATAATATGTAATTGTCTGCAATGAGTATTTAAGATTAACATTTTAATATGTATATAATATGTAATTGTTTGCAATGAGTATTTAAGATTAACATTTTAATACGTATGTAATATGTAATTATCTGCAATGAGTATTTAAGATTAACTAATTTTATAATACGTATAAAGTACATACGTGAGAATTTATAATATATAATTTGACTAGTCTAGTATCTATCTTTAATTATTATAATTATTGCTTTATTGGCATTCTTAATATAGTGATAAAAAATGTATTACAATTACTATAGTGAAACCAGAGATCTGTGAAATTTGTGATATAATTTAGCAAATTGTTTTCATATAACGATTCTTTATTCAAATTTTAACTTATCACTATCTTTTACAAAATTCTCTTTAAATTCTAATGCTCGACTGTCTAATATTAATTATTATTACATAGCATATATGAATTAATATCGAAATAAAAAATAATTACCAAATTTTAAATATCTCCTTATAATATGTAAAATTAATAATCTGTCGCAAGTATCTGTATATTTTATTAATCATTTTATTTATATAATATGAAATGAAATAAATTACAAACTGTTAGAATATTGATACATTGTCTACTACGAGTATTTAATTATTTGTTTGGTAAGTATGAGTATATAAAATAAATTTTGCCTTTAAAAATATGTGTTTATGAATATTTAATGTTAATTGTGTTCGTATATACGTGAGAATAAATATAATTTTTTAATAAAAATTTATACTACATGGAATTTATTCTTGGAAGTAGTAAGTGTATGAATTTGTAATATATATTACGTTTTAAAAATAAGTATGTAGAGTGAACCTGACGTAAATTCTAGTTAACTGTGAAAATTTATTATATTTATTATAATTTAATTTGGAGTTTATATATGTACTTCAACATTTTGATTAATCATATTCAAAAATATAACTGTGAAAAAAAACTTAAACTCGATAGTACGTAGTACTCATTAATATTTGTATAATAAATTGTTAGTTATTTTACTTTAAACAATTAGTTAATATATAATTTTTATATATAAATTATTATATATTATTATTGGACAATATCCAATGTCCAATAGGTCTGGTCCAATTAATTGGATTGGACTGGACATAGATTGTCCAATGTCCATGTCTAATGTCCAAGCCCAACACTGACTTTAGCTGCAGACTTCCATTCTGTTGTAACCTTGTTATCCCAAATATGTGTAAATCTGGGAATCTTATCTTCCAA